TAGCATACATTACCTGTGATTTTCAATAATATTCATTCTAAGTTATACCATTTGATAAGTGTTTTTTTTTTWWAACTATTTTTTCAGCATCCTACACTACTTACCTCTTGTCTCAATTGCATCAGTTTCTCCCTCAGCATCCGTTGATGTCTTTCTCGTAACCTGGCTTTTGCCATGTGAATCTTCAGCTGCTGTAAAAGGGACTCCCAGTATCCTGATTATTAGATAAGCAGCACATGAGTGAGACTTGATAAATATTAATAATATACCTCATACCATCAAGTGGATGCTGTACACTAACATGCTATCCATATGTATTGTTGATAACGACCAAACTATTTCAACTTTCACTTACATGAAGTTTCTGTTTATGTCACCAAAATTTTAATAAGTTCTTAAAATATAATTTTATGTGGTCATCACTTTGGTACTCTAATAAGCTTAGTTTAGTTTGTAAATATGTGACTGACTCTTCAAATTCATTTCGTTTCCATGTTTATTATCAAGTAAAAAAAAACTAGCTTTTTTATACACATTTTACTGGACGGTTGGAAGTAGTGCATGCCGGTGTCTTACCTATATCAACAGCATCACCACTAGAGATCTTGGAGTATATTTGCTTTTCAAGTGCAATCAATTGTGTATATGTCTTTCCTTTGAATATCGAAGCCACATCTGAATGGACTGCAGTGTGAATACCCTCTCTTCTATCCAATTGTTCTGAAAATGACAAAAAAAAAAGAGAATGATAGAGTGATTTTTACTATATTAAATGCACTGCTATGCGATAGTCAAGACAACAGTTGTGATAATGAAATCAGGCAATACACTGCCATCAATCAGACTAATGTCTTTAAGCTTTCAAACAATTTATTTGATTGATGATATCATATAGTTGCTTGCCCGATTTCCCTGTCGTGAATGTTGTCTAGATTAGTGTGAAGCAATGAAAACAGTCGTGGTAGTTTATATTCATGTTGTTAAATAGATTGTCCTTTATTGGATTGCCTGTGTTCCCAAAATCCACAGGAAGCCCAAGCAGCAGTCTTGTGCATTCTTACCACTGTGTAACTGCTTTCGTAACTTTTGTAATTCATCCTTGCATATCATGGTGATATCCTAGTTAAAAAATACATATAGCATCAATAAACTTTATTAACATTAATAAAAAAATATTTTTTCACTGATAAAATAGCTTACTGGGAGCCCTGTGGTGCATTTGGGAACGAAAAAAATATTGGGGTCATCTACAAAAAAAAAAAAAAAAGAATAAAATGTACCATACAAACCTGCCAGTATTCTGTATTCTTTCCTTGTTCTAATTCCATGTAGACCTTAATATCTTCTATCAAATCAGACAAATCTCTTTGAGTAAGACCCTGTTAATGACATGGGATTATTTGATTAAGTACTATAACTGCATATGCTGCAGCAGCAGCAGTTAGGTGGACTCGCGAAGCGCCGACAATGCCAAAAATCGCATATCGAAAAACACCAGGGGGGGTGGGGTTTTGGAGGTCGGTAACCCGCGGAACAGGGGGTCTTGCGCGATCGGCCGACAGCGCGAAAGGTGCCTAACTGCTGCTCTGTTGGGGTCGCAAATGGAGGGAAAGATATCCTTTAGATATACATGGCATCCGTCAACAACATTCAAAACGAAACTGTGCGCAGGTTGGGAAATCAGGTGATGGATAACTCAGATGCGGATTTCGTCTTTGCGACATTCATGGAGGGCAAGACAGACAAGACTATGAATCACGAGATGGCTGAAAGAATAATCGACAGAATGCCGGACGGTGACTACCGTTTGGAGTTGACGTTCGTGAAGTATTTGGACGGCGAGTGGGTGATAGAAAAGGGCCGTAATCCCATCAGGGCGTCTGGYAAGCAGAGTTTGTTCGTCTTGAATAAGCATACGAGACCAGGGGCATTGGAGGGAATTGACATGCTCTTCTATGAGGTCGCTTACCCGGTTACCGT